CGCGGCACCCAGCTCACCCGGGCCGGCACTTCTGGCATATCTCGCAGGGGTGGTCTGGGGAGCAGAAGGTGCCGCTCTTGCAGATGCACTGCGTGTTGCTGGTGGGTCGGCACGGACTCAGCTCCACCTGGTCTGCGGGAGAGAGGAGAGACAGGTCTACCCCAGCCCCTCCGCCCCACGCTCCTCCACCCGCTTCCTTCGTTAACGCGGCAAACGACCCGAGCTGACCAGCAAGCCTGGGGAAGACCAAGTCACTCTCTACAGTGGAGTTTCAGCCTTACCCTTTCCTGCCCCACACCTCACCATGCCCAAGAGAAAAGCAATGCTGGCATCAAAGCTCCACCAGCAGCCTACGATGCTGCCGTGAACCCAGTCCTCCTGGTCCTTGCTGGATGGAGGTCTCGTGTCCACCTTTGCACAAGGGATGCTGCATTGAACGGAGATGTAGGTCTGGCATGAGCCGCTACACCGATTCCAGACCCAGCCTGCCCCACCAGCCAGCATCGCCCTCTTACACGCCAGCTCCTACCTTCCCGACACGTCCAGCAGCGAAAGCATTCGGAAAAGTCGTTTGGGTATTCGATGTATTCATCTTCTTTACACGGCAAACACAGGCTGGAGCCATTTTGCTCTTCACAGTGGTGCGCAACGTAGGCGCCTGCGAGAAGGGAGGAGAAAGCAAGGATGGATCTGAGAACACACAGCCGAGGACAGAGATGTCTTTGCAGAAAGGGAGCTGACTCCGCTGTCGGTGCAGTTAAGAGGCAAATTAGGAACGATCAAAAGGAAAACGTTCCCGTAACGAGTCCTCAGATCTCACGACAGCGGAGCAGGGGAGAGCTGGAGCACCCGCTGCCTCCTTGCAAGGAGCAAGGACGCGCCGGCTCCGCAGGCAGAAACACAGCGAGGCTGCCCGTGCTGTGACGGATGTTTGAGACCATCTTACCCGCAGGGCACTTCTTGCAATAGCGATTGGTGTCCTGGACTTGGTAAAACTCTTCCCCTCCCCTGTTTGGGTCCAAGGGATCCAATTTGTCCCTCCTGCCCAGTGCTGCCGCAGCAGTTCCCAAAGCAGCCTCCTGTTAAAAAATACACAACAACCCAGATTAAAAACCACCCCAAGTCCACGGGGCGAGGGAAGAAAGAGAAGGGCAAGTGCCGCTCTGCCCAGTGCACTCAGGCGAAGCGGGAGAGGAGCTCTGGGATGGGCTGGAGCCACTGGACCTGGTGGCCAAACCTCCCCTTGATGCAGGTGAAGGGCACTTTCCCCGTACCAGGGTGGTTATCTCCTTGGCAAAGAAAAAGAAGGTTTGCAGAGGGATTCCCGTGTGCCGGGTTATCAGCGAGGCAAAGGCTCGCTAACGCTTCCTTAGGATAACATCGGGCTCCTTTTCCTTCCCCAATTTCTGAGCTCGTGAACCAACAGCACCGAAGAAAATGGAAGGGTAGGGAAGAGGAACAGGGAGGGCGTTTGTGGGGAGGAAACCGGCCCCGTGTCAAGGCTGGTACGTGGCTCCTGTGCCCACAAGAAACACCCGGGCTGCTCTGAGCTCCTGGGGAACGGCACGGCCTCCGGAGTTTCCGCATTATCCCCGTTATCTGGCTGCGGATCGGGAAGCCAACGGCCCCATTTCCGCCAGCTCACTGCGCACCTTTCTGCTGGCTCAGCTCTTTCTGTACTCTGCTGGGTCGCTCCAGTCGCGGGGGGGAAGATGCTCGACGGGAACGGCCGCTCACCCCATCAGGTACCCCACCTGCATCCCAACCAGCACCGGGCACAGCCGCTTGTGGGTATAAATGGACATAAACCCACCTCTGGCTCCAGCCCTGCGTTAGATGATGCCCGGTCACGCTGTGTGCTGCACGCAGACAGTCTGGCAGAGGTACTTTCCCTTTCCCCTCCCATAAACAGAGCCCAAAACCTGCCTCTTAAAGCAAATATTTCTCCTGTGAGTCAGAAGCTGCCTTGAAAGGCTGAAACAATAGAGACGCAGCTCTCCCGGTCCCCTGAGACAGCCGATTCCCTCCTCTCCTCCTCCCCGGACACTTCCCGCGCTTTGTAGAAGGAAGCGTGTGAGTGCCAAAACTGACCGCAGCAGGTCCCACAGTCACGGGGCCGCAGAGCATGACGCAGACCCACAAACAACACCGTGGAGACCGGCCAGGCCATGGAGAGGGCGACCCTCCCCCCATACACATCCCCCAACACACAGCTTTGCCCGGACAGACACACAGACGCAGAGAGGCACAGACCCCCCCCCAAGCCCCGGCCAGCCTGGGAACGGGTCCATCTCCAGACCCTGACTTGGAGGAACCAAAGCCGCATCCCTCCAACGGCATCTGGCTCCACATCTCCCGCTTTCTCCGGAGCTGGGACGGTTTGCAAGTTTATAAAGTGCTTTTCTAGCCAGCTTAAGGGAAAAATCTCGCTGTTACCTCCCCGCCACACAAGCAGCTCTCACGGCTTTACCCACTCCGGTCTTGAAAGTCGTCCGGGACTGAGCCCGGGCAACCTGTCCCACCGCCACGCTGTCCCCGCGGGGGAATAAAAAAAGAAGTCTTGCTTCCCCATTCAAACTCTGCCAGGCCGTGAAGGCGATCACAGCAACAACACAGTATTATCTGCTGTTTGGAAAAGGCCCCTTAGGCGCAGGATTTCACTGCTTTTCATGAAACAGCTACTCACCAGAGCTTGCACAAGTGCACGATAAGGTTATCAGCCCACACCACCTTCCCCAGCAAGTGCAGTTCAAGTACCCCATCCCACCCCAGAGCCCTTGGCAGGCGAGGGCTGCCATCCCTGACTAACCTATCAGCCTTGCAAAGCACGAGGAGAAACCAGGCTGGGAGCCGTGGGCGAGACGCAATGGCATTCTCCAGAGTAGTTTTCACCCACAGTAAACATCCCAAGAAAGCAACGTTGCCTCAAGGCAGAGGAATTCCCAGGCACGGCAATCCCTGGTACCCACATCAGCTAAAAGCCTCTTCCTTCTGCATTATCAGGTCTGGAAACAAAATGCTCTGGGAAGCACCTTGAACTTTCCTTTCTTCCATCCCCCAAGTTGTTTTCCTCCTGAAGCGATCCCGAGGAAGGAGCGGGACCCTACAGCAGAAGGCAGATCCCCCACCAAACTCCTGACCAGCAACGAACATCCGGGGCAGCATTAATACGCCGCCCTCGACTGTCGCAGGAGAAGCTTTCAGCCAAAGGTGCTAAGGACCGAGGGTAAAAGAGATGCCGGGCAGACACCTGACGTGCCTCTGCTCAGATCTGACTACTGTGGGGGTTTCCCCCCCCCCCAAGACTTCCCGTAGATGGAATTTGAGCTGCGGCAAACACAGAGCCCCGGCGGCCTTTCTCCTCGGGAGCCGGTGGCCCAGGTCCAGGCATGATGCAACAAGCGATGGGGAGCAGGGGAGCAGGGGAAGGAACTGCAGGCACAATACCGTGCGATTATCACGTGGGGCAACATCAGTCCTGATGGGGTCCCCCTCCCCTTTCCTTTTATTAAAAAGGAAAAAAAACCCAAAAAGTTAAAGAAAGAAGCTCTTAAGAGCGTGGCGGGTTTAGTAAGGTTTGACTTTCTCGGGCAAGTCTAAATAAACTCTCGTAAGCAATAAAAGGAAGGAACTGGATGAGAAGCCGACGCTTTTAAAACCTGTTACGGGCAGTGCTGACTTCAGTAACAGCAGTTCCAGCACGGGAGGAGCCACCACGTGTCCCGGAGCCGCGGCTCCATCGTGGCGGCAGGGATTGCAGGCCAGCCCCGGGATAAAACCCAGGGCAGGATCCCCGGGATAAAACCCAGGGCAGGACCCCCGGGATAAAACCCAGGGCAGGACCCCCGGGATAAAACCCAGGGCAGGATCCCACTGATTTCAGGTGAGACAAGACTTGAGGTATTTCCGAGCTCTATAGGAATGCCCAATCCACGGAGAAATATGATACGCGCAGATGGGATTTTCTGCCCTAAAAGCCAGTGGCGCTAAGGGTTCGGACATCCTTTGGGCAAGTCGGAGAGGCAGCAGTCCTGCATCCCACCCTGATGCTTTCTAACATCCCCCGTGGTCCTGGCGTTGCCACGAGATCCCAACCCCGAATGGCAAACAAGATTTGGAAGCAAAAGGAGTGGAAATCCCCTCCGGCACAGGCAGTGCCATAGGGCAAACCTCCAGCCCCACGTCACCTCCGAGCCCCACGGCCCTCACACAGCCAGTGGCCCAAGCGCTTGCGCACTTGCCCGCTGCCCCACACCCAAGGCGGGCTGCGATCACCCTTCCCGTCCCACCTTCACGCTGCTGCTTCCCCCCTGCCCCACAGCCTCAGCCCCACATATTCCCCCCCTCCGTGTCCTGCAAACCCGTCCAGGTGAGCCCCCACAGCCCCACTCCCCTCCCGTGGGCCCTGCCCAGGTGAGCCCCCCCTATAGCCTCAGGTCTCCCCATATC